ATAAGTTTAATTATGCTATTCCAGAAACCGTTATCATTTTGTGCCATTACGGTTTAAAGTACTGGCTCAAAGTGATAAAGTCTTCGAATTTACAAGAATGTAGACACCTTCTTGTAAATTCGAACTGTCGACTTTTACTTTCCTTTATTTTATGTGTATCTTTCCAATTTTCATTATGTTTCTTGTACTCATTCTGTAGAGACATTAGGAATTTTTGAAAGCAGGCAAGATGAAAAATTAGCAACGCCTTCGCAGGGAATCGAACCGCTTACCTCTCAAATACGCGCCCAGCGTTCAGACCACCACACCACGAAGCTCGCTAAGAAGGCGGGAGAAATACCTTATATACTTCCCCTTTTAAAGGGCTACTGGGTTATTTTAGGGGACCAAACAGCCAAATCCTGGGTGTGGAGATTCATCATCCAACACCCTTTTAGTTCGGGCGCCACTGTAGCGACATTAGGTATTTTTGGAAGCAGGCATGATGAAAAATTAGCAACGCCTTCGCCGGGAATCGAACCTCGGACCTCTCAATTACGCGCTGAGCATCTAGACTACTAGACCACGAAGACTCGCTAAGAAGGCGGAAGAAATACCTTATAATTCTTACAGCGTTATTGTTTGAAATACTGTAGTCATGATTTTCATTTAAAATCTCTTTTCAATGGTAATTTCCCTCCTCCTATAACCTAGCTTTTTTTCACTGCATGTATCATGCTTAAACATAATAAATGCTCTTTTTACAATTAAATATTTTATTATTATAAAATACAATAAAATGTATGATTTTTTTTTAATTGTCGGAGACTAAAATCATTTTATTACGTCATATTTCATGCAAATAAAAATAGTTCTTCCGTTTAATTTTAGTATACCATAAAAGCAAACACAAGATTATGGACTGAGTTTTAGAAATATAAATAAAAGTTAATTTTATTTTTTTTATTTGGGCTGATATGGGTCTTTTTAGGCAAATGAAAATCAATGTCATTGGTTAAATTTATGGCAAAAAGTGTGCTTCTTATTTTTTTCACTAAAATAAAAATGTTTAATTTTTTTAGTTGTGCAATCTTTTCTGAAATAAAATACAATAAATGAAGAGAAAATCGACCACCTGCATTTCAAGAAACACGCATTCGATCCAAAAAAAAAAAAAAGTCAATCTATTTATATGTATTTTTTGAAAATCCGGATAGGCTGCTGTTTTATTTACCTAGGATTAAGTTATATTCTAAAAACACAGTACCGTACATGTTCTGTTGCCACCGGCATCAAAAAGACAAATTTTATAATTCTTCATTCGATGCCTTTTGAAATTAAAATCATCAAGTACTGAACTAATGTAAACGAATATTGCAGCAAAGAAAGCATGATTTGAGTGAGATTCCTCCCCAAATCACCCAGATTTGGGGATCCGTTACATAAGCGAAAGACACAGAAAGAGAGAGCGAATGAGAAAATCATTCATCTCTCCTGGTCAACGATGCAAGACAACTCATCGATTGTTGGAACTTCGTTGCGAGGAGCGACTGGTGAAAAAAGCGAACATTGCAAGGAAATGTTCGCGGAAATTGGCCAAGAATATCTATAGCAAAGAATGAAGAAAGAAAAAAAAATATCGATCGAATTTGCCTTTGCAACCCCGTCAACGTAATCTCTTGTTTAGAAAGATCGTTATCTCTTTTTCAGCAACGTGCTTCTTTTCTAAAAAGAAAGCCAAATAACAACCGCCTAAACTTCCTTCTGTTGCAGTATGATGGTTAACATCTTAGGGTCATAGAAAGAGTTTATTCTAAAAATTTAAACAATCGTTAAATACATCTTGAAATTATCAGCCTATCAGTTCTTAAAAAAAATCTATCTCGAGTGTGAGTAAAATTTATGTGATGATATACATTCCCGTCTACAAAGTGTAAGGACTGAAATTTTATCATCAATGCCAGCCAAATTGTCAAACGGTAGAGGATTTATTACTAGCGCATCACGATTTGCTTGTATATCAATTCCTTACTTAAAGAAGCTTCAAGTGATTTTTTTTCTTTACTTTTATTCTACCAGTATCTGCTGTTAAGAATTTAAAAGCTAAAATAAAAGCCTCAAAAGTTCCTGCGCAGTGCAGTTGTAGTTAAAATACGACAAATATACTGCCGAGAAACTTTTAAAAGATTAAAATTAATCGTTTCCTTTATAAAATATTTCTCCTGCCTACTTAGCATGCCTTCGTGGTGTAGTGGTCAGCAAGCTCGGCGCAAATTCTAGAGGCCCGTGGTTCATGTGCTGGCGAAAACGTTGCTCATTTTTCATCTCTCCTGCTTCGAAATAATTTAATGTCTCTACAGTGGCGCCCGAAATAAAAAAGGGGGTGGATGATAATTTCCACCCCCAAGATTTGGAGATTGGATTCTCTAATCCCCAGTCGCCTTTTAAAAGGTGGAGTATATAAGGTATTTCCCCCATCTTCTTAGCATACCTTTATGGTGTAGTAGTCAGCACGCTCGGTGCGTATTCGAGAGGCCTGTGGTTCGAGTCCTGGCGAAGGCGTTGCTCATTTTTCATCTCTCCTGCTTTGAAATAACCTAATGTCTCTACACCTTTACTCTTTAGATTAGACACCAATTACCTGCTTATCTCACATTGCAGAGACATTAGGTATTTTTTGAAAGCAGGAGTCATGAGAAATGAGTAATGCCCTCGCCGGGACTGGAATCACGGACCTCTCGAATTCGCGTCGAGCGTGCTGACCGCTGCACCACGAAAGCATGCTAAGAAGGCGGGAGAAATACCTTATATACTCCCCCTTTTAAAGGGCGACTGGGATTTTAGTTGACCCGATCGTGAAATCCTGGTGATGTAGGATCATCATCCACCACCGTTTTTAGTTCGGGCGCCACTGTAAAGACGTTAGGTTATTTCGAACCAGGAGAGATGAAAAGTGAATAATGCGGTCGCCGGGACTCGAACCACGGACCTCTCGAATTCGCATCCAGCGGGCTGACCACTACACCATGAAGACATGCTAAGAAGGCAGGAGAAATACCTTATAACGTTATGCTCTCATTTTGAGAGTACTGCAGAAGTTCAGAAGCATTTCACTAAGCAATAAAATAAGAAATTTAGAAATATTTAATTAAATTTGCTTCAGCTGACTTCACGTTAGTAGTGAAACTCTTATGAATAAAAACAAAATTTCATGTGGATATCATATGACTTCCTTGTATGATCTATTAAATCATACACATTTTTTGCCTACACTTCATTTTAACGATTTCCTCGAATTTCATTAGAGATATATTTCTCATCCAATTAATTCAGTTCTCCCTTCGTTGCAAAGGAAAAATACATAAAAACTCAAAACATCTTCATTAAAAATTGTAAAATACAGAAAAGCATAAAACATCAAATGCAGTTAAAACAGTTTTAAAAAAATACAATTAAAATTAGAGTTTCTAAACAAAAACAAGCAATTTGACCAACAGGCAAGAAGGCAGATTTCCGGGTGAAGAGAAATAAAAGTTTACTTTTGATCCCACTCGACAAAAAGACTTTGGAAGTGCAGAAACTTTTGGAAGTGCAGAAACTCGTTTAATTCTTATTCTGCTGAGTTTCAAACGTAAGCAAATGGCGATTCGTCACGCTTAACTCGAAACTTAAACTTTTAAATTGTTGCTAATTCTAAAACTATTGCATGCGGATTAACTAAAAGTATAAGAACCTGACCCTGAACATAAAATCCACATAATTCAATCACTTCTAAAGCAAAAAATGCACAATTTACCAAAATATTAGAATAAAAACCTAAGCTCACCGAGTCAGGTAACGGAGTGGGAATATATATACGATTGATGCAGCCGATTCCAACGAAAATGGGATTTGCATAACTACATGTTATAGTAGTCCCATATACAAAATTTCAACGTTTTACGGCTATTCGTTCTTGAGTTATGCGAGATACATACAGACGTACGTACGTACGTACAGACATAAAGAAAAAGATCACTTTAAATATAATTACAATTCTTTTCAACAAAGACAGTCCTTTACTCTGTCCGTACGTAGAGATGTCATGCAAAATCATCATTCGAATGGTTTCGAGAGGGGTTGAAATGGGTATTTTCGTTGAAATATGATACCCGAAATTTTTCGCAATTACAATATTTCCTTTACTTCGTACCCCCCCCCCAAAAAAAAAAATAGAGAAGTCTTTTTTTCCATTAACCTCCTCCACGTGTTGTTGGTTTGCGATAGAATAATATTATAGCAAGTCTTGCTATTTTGAACATTGGTACTGCCATTTTGAAAAATTCATTTAAATGTATCACTTTTATGTTCTCCACTTTGAATTCCAGGATATTCACTCTTAACCCCTTTTGTAAGTGTTTAGCTTAAATGGTTAAGAAGTTAAATTAGAATATGAATACTAAGATCAGATGATATTTAATTTTTAAATATTTATAATTTTTAATATTTCTTCTATCTTTCTGTTTATTAAGTTTCATACAGCACAGAAAAATTATCCTAGAGAAATACATTTTTCACTGACATTTCTTCTTCGTTGAGTCTCATGTAAAAGCTTAATTTTCGTATATATGTTTTTTTTTTTTTTTTTCCTCGAAAAATAAATCACTAACTTGATTTGTACCTACTTTAATTACAGAATTTCTTAAATTGCCAGCTTTGATACGACTAACTGTTCAAGTGATATTTAATCCCGAAGTATTTTAAACGCATCTTATATTGTGGCCAAGAATTAAAATCTGAAATAAAGAACCCGAGTAATTTACCCAAATTAAATCAAACTTAAAGATGTTTAAGTATTGAACAACGAATTTTAATATAACAGAAATCAACTTTAAATTTGAATGGAAAACTAACGTAAACAACAGAATTAAAAAACTGGTCATAAGAAGGTTACTGAGATTGTTTTTAACGAGTGAATTATTTTAGTAACAGTAAGAAAAAAAAAATTCACTTTTTAAGATTAAAGTTTATTTAATACTAACTCTGTGCCACGTGCTGAGTCTCCGTTGCCGGAAGTTCACTCCCCTTATTTTTGGGGGGCTTTTCTTCCTCTGCGGGGGCGACTTCGATTTCGATGGAAGGGGCTTCCTCTAGCGAGAATCGATTAGGGCGTTCCACCTTCTTCTCCTCCTCCATCTTCTGCTTCTCCTCTTCTTCCTTAGTGGTTTCCTCGTCCATCCTTCCGTAGTAAACATCCGCCTTAGGCCTAGATGAGACGAAAACGTGGTGTAAATGGCAATCACTCTTACACTAGTATGAAAAAGAAAACATCTGTAGCAGCATGCAGGAAATGTTTGCTACAATGTGAAAGTTCCCTTAATAGAACCATCTTTATCCGACTAATGCAAGTTGGGATGTTTCGGATAACACATTTCTTCGGATAGCTTATGGAAATTGTATTTATTTAAGACTAGAAATAAATATGCCATAACATTGTTAGGCCAAAGGTATTATAATGTATTTAACACATATTTGTTTTACAACCAAATGCTGATTTAATTGTGTAAATTATCGCTTTATCGGGCTTATTGAATTGACTACTAATCTTCCTGTTACTACTTTAAATGTGATTTACGTTAAGAAAGGTAAAATATTTTGAGTATATATCATTTTTCTGTAAGGTTCATGTTTTACTAATGCAAAAACACATTTCTTTTAAAATAGTTACTTGAAAGAGGATATGTTTTCAATATTTTTGAATATTTTACAAATGTGCACAGCAAAAATATTTCGTTTAAAAAAGTTATTTGAACGAGGATAGTTTTTCAATTTAGTATTTGTATGCGGGAAGGGCAATCAAAAATAAAACCGTGGTGTTCTAACAAAATCTCAGTTCTAAGGAACTAAAAATCATCGTCCATATATTAGTGATTTACTTCGATTGTTGCTTGGGATTATAAAAATGTCGCAAAAGTATTCGAGTATGATTCAACAAAAATATTCAAGTAAGTCAGTAAGACTACTGATATCATATTTGCGAATGAAAACACGAAAGCAAGTATTATATTTTGTTTCAATTATGAAAATATACACATTTGCCAAAGGTGGAAACATTAAAATACAAAAATCTGATGTGTACACCACATGACTTCCTTGTACGAAATATTAAATTATACGCATTTTTTCTTGCATTTCATTTAAATTTATTAGATTGAATTAAACCTACTTCGCCGACAGCGCATAAACCACAATAGAATAAATGCATTCTTTAAAATTCACTTTGTTTACCATAGCGACACTCTGGCGCTAGGTTTACTTAACAGTATTATATTTCGTTCAAATTATAACTCAGAATGCACAAAATTTATATAATTTAACGAATTATCGAATCGTTGCCACATGTTCTATTTAAATACTATAATAAAGCTAGAACGATGTTAAAAAGAAATTAAGCAAACAAAACAGTTTTTCACAGACGATTGAGTATTTCTCATTCAATTAATTCAGTTTTCACTTCGCGACAAGGCAAAAATTAATTACATAAAAACTCAAAATATCTGTATTTAAAAATTACGTAGTAAACCTTTAAACGCTTATTTCCTCGAAAAAATTCAAGAAAGGATTAAGCATGATTTAAATAATAAATGAAGGCGTTATCTTTGTTGTTGCAAAGCTAAGTTTCTCTAGATTGGCAACAAATCCGCTATCCTGCTGTTTCAAATGTAAACAAGCAAGGACCGCCATCAAGAAGAGGATTAGGCTTAGCGGCACTTAAACAACTTTAAAATTGTTGATAATTCTAAAAATATTGCATAGAGATTTACTAAAGGCATAAAAACCTCAACCGGAAGATAAAAACAGCATAATTCAATCATTTTCAAAGCAAAAAATGTACAATTTACAAACATATAAGAGTAAAGAAACTGAGATCACTGAGCCGGATAACAGAGTGGATATATATATAAAATATATTTTATATACGTTTGGTGCGGGGCCGATTGCAACCAAAATACGAGGTGCACATCTACATGTTATAGGAGTCCTATATACAAAATTTCAACGTTCTGAGGCTACTCGTTTTTGAGTTATGCGAGATACATACGTGCGTACATACTTTACACGTACATACGTACGTATAGACGCCACGAAAAATTCTCTTCAGAATTCATTTTAAAGCAGTTTTATAATTTTTTGGGGGGAAAAGAGTGTTTTATTATGTCCTTACGTACAGATATCACTGAAATACATCGTTAAATTGCATTCGAAAGAGGTCAAAATGGGATATTTTCGTTGAAATATGCTGCCTGAAACTTTTCGCGATTACAATACTTCCTTTTTACTTCGTACAAGGAAGTAAAAAGGAAATAAATTCTTTATGACAAAGTTAATTTTTAAAAAACGTTCTTGCAACTTAAAGCCTCAGATAGCCATTTTTATAGTCTTACACCATTTCTTGAACAGTTCCATACCTTGATTCTGAATCGACGGAGGCGTGCTGCACTTTCATGTGAGCAATGTCGAAATAGATGGCGGCTCTCATGAGCATGTCCAATGGAGCAATGACTCCGTAGCTCTCCACCCCATGCTCGATGACCAGAGGGTCGGATACGTTTGGGTCGAACATCACTGCATTTGGCGTAATGATCAATACACCTGCCACCACTCCCTGAAGAGACAGAAACATTTTAGGGAAGATTTTAGTAACTAAAATAAAGAAATATAATTTTAAAAAATTAAAGAAATTTATTTGAATACCGAAACGTATCAAACCATGAAAGTGATGTGTAATCACATATGCATACTTCACCTCAAGAAATAAAATCTTTAAAATTTAATTTGATTTAATTTAGGATTATATTGGGTATGTGCAAAACTTCTACCGTTTCATGCATGCAAAATGTGATCAGTATCTTACGTCACAGATGACACTGAAAACTGGAATTTATTACGAACAAACAATGAGGTAATACAACAGACAAACATTTTGAGATTGTCAGAATAAATAATGCATTAAAGCATCTAAAATGTCAAACAAGAATCAGCATACCAGATATTGTTTACTTTGTGAATCCGATAAAATATTACTGCAGCTGCAGTTTGCCACAGCATTTGTTAGATATATGCAAAGGATGGAGTTGACGACATGTGTCATCTACATTTCTCTATACATCTACCATCGTTAGTCTGAGAAAAACCAAAACAGATGGTATGTATAAATCAATCACATGATGGCGGAGAGACGAACAACGTTCATCAGAGTCTTTAACAAAGATATGAACCAAGCTATAAAAAATTAGACAAACCAACCATCAATAATCTAGCGAAAATATTGTTGGTACACAGAAATGACAGCTGAAAAACGGATGCAGGCACCTAAATTCATTTTGATAGTGGATCAGTGGTTTGTTTCTTCAGCTAAGAGTAGAGAATTTTTTGTTTTCTTATTACATTAGCGAATCATTTGTGAAACGAACTTCAACGATACATGTGTGCTGTATATAGTAGAAAGACTGCGCATTGATTTGCAGAACATGCGCTCTTAACTCCGAAACAATACACGCACTAAAAAGAGTTCTTTTAAGTGAAATCAGGATAACAAAAATATAATGTGGTGAGGTATAACAACACGATAAGCGTCGACCTCCTTTGCTAACAATTGGACCGACTTATAAAAGAACTGATATCTAAGTGTCCAACATTTGTCAAAAGCAAAGATGTTATAGTTCATTACAATAACGCCAAAGCTCACTCCAGTGTAATCATTCGGCAGAAATTATTGGTCTTTGATTGGGAAATGCTCTCCCACATAAAATTTTCCTTTGCCTTTGGCAATACAGGACTACATCATTACAAAAGACTTTTAATGTTCAAATTTTCGATGAGGAGATGAAGGATGTGAAGCAATATCATAGAACCTTTTGCCTCAAAAGCAAAGGTCTTTTTAAAATTATGTGAGAAACCTAATGCTAGAAAGTCCGAACTATGTCCATGATAACTACGAATCCGTCTTAGAATCCTTAAATAGATCATTACTCTTCGCTTTTTCAGCGACGGGAAAAAATAGTATCAGAACGGCAGTGAATGCTATGGTAGGAATAGAAAACATGCATTTTGATACAGCTTTATTGCCGTGCACAATATTTTTTGTTTTGTGATGTGCATTTTGTTTACTGTATATATGCTGATGCCTATAGTGCACATAAAAGGTTAAAAGCAACCTCTGAGAATAACGATTCAACATCTCGCTACTGTGATGCAGCTACTTTACGCCACTACCTTCCCTTTTCAGCTACTAAACCACTAGTACAAATTTTGCATAATTTGAATAGAGAACTATAGAGAAAACAGACGCAAAGGTTTATATGGTTTTATTTCAATGCTTTTCTAATTTCAGAGTTTTTTTAACAATGGGCGGGCGGTTTATTTAATAACCATTAGCCTTGAGCCACCACAAGGGCCGGAAGTGAAGGCCATTTCATTATGGAAGTACCTAATAAGTGGCCGCCGTTGTCTGCTATGAACAGACAACATCATTACAAAAGACCGTAATGATTTAGACAGTTACAACCATGCCTTCTCCGGGATTCAAACCCGGGCTCTTCAGTACCGCAGTCAGAGTTACTAACTACTATACCAGCTGGGAAGGCTCTCTGGTTTCAAAGTACTAATATTTATTACCAATAGAACAGGCATCACTTAAACAAAACGTTAGGGTATAACCTGATTCCTCTAATATCGTGAAAGACTATCTGTAACTTAAAGCGCGATCAAAACACAAAGAAGTATCAATTCTAGTAGATTTTCTGTATGGTTGCTGAAGGTACTGCCCAGCATCCTATTTCCCCATTTATCTGCCTATTTGTGATCATAATTCACTCGATAAGTTATTCCCGAAAGCATAGGCATAAACTGCCTTAAAACTTCCCAGAGTTCTTTACTTTGTAGTAGTTCACTGTAGGATCTAGATAAATGTTTTCGATGCCACCCCTGAGTGACTACAGTTTCTGTTGGAACAGCACATTTTCTTGATGGACCACACCATCCTCTTCAGTGCACAGAACGGCATGAATCCATGTAGATGAACAGTCATAGCAGTTTAGTAGTTGTCAACATTCAACCAGTTTGGATAACAAATGGTTTCTCCTAACAGACTAAAGGAATTAATGTATGACATATCAATACTCCCGTAAATAAACATGGATTTATATACACCAACAACTGAGCTCATATGGAAGGATCATTCTAAACCCCTGATGCCACAGAGATCCATATTCCCTTAAACCAGCATCAAGCTAACTCTGTTACACACTGATAGACAGTCAACAGAGCACAAATATGGGACGTCGGCTAGTATCGCTAAAGAAATGTGAGTTGCATAATTTGTTTGATTGCTGTCTTCGCTTAGACCTCGCCCATGGGCAAAAGTCGTATCGCTCCACTGCACTAACCATCAATGGGTGTGCACCCTCATCAGATAAACTCAGTGGCCTGCGTTCGACCACTATTTTCTTGCTGTTAGCACATTCTTCTTTAGCAAATCAAACTGGAAATAAACCTTTGATGCGGTTCTTCTACCGAATCACAGTCACAGTTCTTTACAAATGTGTCACACTTCTTGACAAAATTATATATTTTTCATAAATGACAAAATTATATATTTTTCACGCGCCCATAGTCAGAGCCTCTCAGATCGCATTTGCTTTACATTGTTGCTTGAGGTAGATATCTGCCTATTTGTGACATGCGTAGAATTTATACATTTTTCTCTCTACTCTTAAAGAGGGCAGCACGAAATGTAACAGCTCTTTTTGTTGTTATTCTTCGATAATTTTATTATGTATGATAATATATTCAAAGTATATGATGAAGCAGAGCTCCTTACCTGGCCATCGGTGAAATGCCTGGCTTTCACCTTTAGGAATCTGTGCGACCTCTCACTAGGACGCCTGTAGGGAATGCGCAAGGCATCTGTTACACTCGGTCTTCGCTCTCGGTCATCCTAAACAAGATAAAATTGTTAAGAATTTCAGGTTTTGTATGCATTTTGAAATAACAGCAAATCAAAATGCCCAGTACATTTTGAGAGATACAGCCTCAAATTCTTCTTTTCTAAAGCAAATATTTCTGCATCGCCTTGCTTTTCATACACCTTAAATAAGATCTGTACTTACGTTTCGTGCCCTCTTTTCAGATAATAGAAGAAAAAGAAAAAAAGCAATTTATAAATTACGTGAGTCTTTATGGGTAATATGAATTGAAATCAACAATAGTTACTCAGATTTCGTTATATGTTAAATATTTCAATGAATTTTTATTCATCAGCTATGATCCTTTGTAGATAAATGATAATTTAATAAGTGAAACATTCAGAGACTATCAAAAGGCCCATCAATGACTAAATATGAAATATTTATTAATTTCTCCTTTTCTGACGCAAGATTCATGTGCATTTTTAAAGCTTTCTCAATTTCTACGGTGTATTAAAGCACACTGACAAAAGATATTTTATATTTCTCAAGAATTGATTCAGATTGAATATGTGATCTTTAATGGTTAAGTCATGAATTCAAAAGCAGAGAAAATAAAAGTAAAATTAAACCTGAGCAAAACTTAATCAATTAATGGAAATGGAAAATAAGAAATATCTTACGTTTCGTTTTTTTAAAATTCAGCTAGATTTAATAATTTTTAACTCTGGAACAAAAAACAGAATTATTTTTATTATTAATTTTTAGAACGATTGCTACATCAGGTACTGTAGAAAATGGCTTAGACATAACTGTAACTTTAATTCCAATGCTTGTACCGCTACCTAGATGCGCAAGCTCAGTGTCATTCAGCTTCCATTAGCTCAAAAACTAATGGAAGCTGAATGAAAAGATGCTCTGTTTAAAGCTTTATTTTTTTAATCCTTATTTATTTTTATAAATAAAATTATTTTGTTATCGTTTATAAGTAACATTGATTTTACTGCTTCTTTTACCCAATGTGTGTATTCTTCCCCGTATTATTTAATATTACTTTGATCTCACCTATTGTGAGTAAATTAGAACTTAATTTAGATAATTCTAAGTAATTCTAAATACAGTTCACTGATAACTTCGTAGAAAATGGTATAGCTTTCAAACATTTAAAACTAATTGAAATATGTGTCAAAATTAGTACTAACCTGAGGAGGTGCTAAACTGTCTGTAGTTTCTTGGTTATCTGTAGCTTCTGGCGCACGATTTCTCTTCTCCGGGACGAAGAGTAACTATAACCAGAAACATTCATATATATACATATATATATAAATGTATTATTATAATATAGAATTGCTTTAGTACTAGTCGAAATTTAATAAAAGTAAATGCGTGTCAAATATGCTAGGAAATTTCTCTTTGTCAAGAGGTTGTAAGTTGCACCTCTGAAATATAATTACCTAGCGCCCTACATCTGCTGTTGATTGCGGAGATTCAGGCTCTGGTATCACCTTGACTTAACTTTCTTCTATCACAGTTCCACTCCATATTTAGAATTCACTTTTTTCATCAGACTAGTGGAAGCAAATAGTAACTTATGCCAATGATTCCTAATATGTTTCACATTTTTAAGTGAAAATTTGTGTTTCATTTTATACATCCAGCCTCTTATATTAAGGATTCAGAGGTTGATGAACAAACCCAAAGAAGGATTCGATTGAAATAGTAGACAGTAATAATTTTTTAACAGTTTTGTTACTAATGACAGAAACTCGTCTTTTTCTTATAACCCAGGAAACAAAATCGATAACCGTAAGCACCTATAAGAGAAAATTCACCTACACTAAAGAAACTTCGCTTTTAGAAGATTCGAATAAAGAGCGCGTTGATTAATCTTGATTTTCATGGAATAAATTATGAGAAAATTTTGCTTGAAATGGAAATAGTGTAGAAAGTATTTAGTAGAAAAGCAACTGACCCGATTTCTGATAGTAATTCATCGCGTAAGAAACGCTCGATAAGAATAATGCGGTAAATCTTTACATTATGGTAACTTGGCGATTTTTTGGCGAAACTTTGGCGACCAACCCTGCTACAGCAAACTGCTAGTTTTTTTTTTTTTTTTTTTTTTTTTTTTTTTTTTTTTTTTTTTTTTGGACGCCATTTTGTTTTCACGAAGTAAAGGCTTTTTTTTTTTTTTTTTTTTTTTTTTTTTTTTTTTTTTTTCCCACTCAACATTTTCCCCAACAATCTGCTAGCCGAATTACGCTTATGCTAGAACTTTTATGGAACAAAAGTTCTTAATCATGACGAAGATTAGGTGCAAATTTGGAAAAAGTGCAGAATCGCCCACTGCTTGCCGCGTTTTTAAGAATTGCATATATACGGTATCCATGTACACGTCGACCTATTTTTCACTTAAGAAAATATCCCAGAATTGCACAAAAATGGTATTGCGCACACTCTTGACTTTATCCATGTACACATCGACCTATTTTCACATAAAAAGTCAAAGAAAATTAACAAAAATCCAATTCTTCTTACTCTTGTAAAAAGAGCTAAACAAATAAGTGGCCGATTCTGTACTTTAGCAGCAAAATTGTTTCTAAGTGCTTATTAGCTAAAATCCCCATTGGAATTTTCCGGAAAATGTCACATTACATGTCTCATGATCTCTCATTTCTCTGAGACAAAATAATCTGTGATTGTACTTCTCAGATTATTGCTAAAGTCCTCGCTAGTAACCTTTATCACCTTACCAAAATGTCGCCAAACTACCTGTTACCATATTCTAAAGATTACCCGATAATACTTTTCCCGCCCTTACCATAACGGAATCATCCCCATTAACAGCTAAGAGAAGTATAATCTTACTCGGAAGATTTGGCATCTTCTAGTTTTTTTTTTTGTGATCCGTAAAGTAAAATCTGGCACTGGCGTGTTCGTTTTGAAACCAGCTGAAAAGCTCCAAAGAACTTAACAAGGTAACGAATAGCATCCAAATAGTAATTATCTGCAAAAACTCCTAAAGGTTCTATGAGCAAGCCAAGATAAATATGTTTTAGAAGTAATGCGTGCTGAAGGCTAAATAGTAATAAATCTTTTCCTTTTTAATTGGTGTCTCTCTTGCTGCATTTCGTAACCTACCGCGCTTTCTTAAATGCGCGTGATCTCTTCAGTAGCTGAGTAGTTAAGACCAATGAATGCTGGTAGTTCAATCTGGATTCGAATCAAGGCGAACGATCTGGCTGCAAGTTTTCATGGCTTTCATCATGCGCAACGTGGATGTGAGCTAGTTCCCGTTAGAAAGTTATCCACAAAAGCATCTCTTCCCTTAAGCAGATAGCGTTGCTGTGCATTGCTACATTCAAACCTAGCATCATAAATGCTTGTTGTGTTTTCCGATCTCTCTCCTGAGGATCGCGTGTTCCATCGAATAATCCTAGAATGTAGTCATATACAAAAACACACAAAAAAAAAAAAAAAAAATAACAAAATACTTCAAATATGAATGAAATCAATACGAAAACAACCGTTTAGTTTACTCCAACTGCTTTTCCAATATAAATAGTGTTAATTAAATGTTAAATAGTACATGATGTTTTCAAAAATATATATATGGCACTATTAAGGCACATAGATGAAATGAGAAAAAAATACAAAAACCTTAACAAAATTATCAGATATCAAGAAATGATCGCACATAGCATAGTAATATAAAACTTACAACAAAAACAAATCAGAAAGAATAGTTAAAATGTGGTGCACTCTTTAATTGCCTTAAAAATTGGTTACTCTAAAAACAATACATTTTTCAATTAAGTTAATTAAAATTTAATTTCACTTAAATTATTTAAAATTAAATCAATAGCGCTGATATACTTCGGCAGACTGTATGATTAAATAGCAAGTAATCAATTAAAAAAAAGTAGCTCGCTGATGGATACGATCATTTTAAAAGGTATTTTCTCCCTCTTCTCTTTATTCCTTCGTAGTGTAATTGGAAGCACACTCGAGTATTCGAGAGGTCCAGGGTTGAGATCCGGTGAGGACATTGCACAATTTTCACATCATCTGCTTCAAAAAAAAGAAAAAAAAAAAAAAACCAAATGACTCTACAAGACGCTCGAACTGAAAGGCGGTGGACGATAATTCGTCACCATCAAAATTTGGCGATCGGGCCCCTGAATCCCCAGTCGCCCTTTAAAAGAAGGAGTACTTAAGCTATTTTCTCTCTCCTTTCCACATACCTTTGTGGTCTAATTGGAAGCATACTAGCCGCATATGTGAGAAGTTCAGGGTTGGAGTCCTGTCGAAGGCACTGTGCATTTTTCACGTCACCTGCTTCCAAAAAAAAGAAAAAGTAAAAGAAACCTACTGACTCGACATTTTTAATTTATCTAATTGCATCATAGCTTCAGAACTAATTAGACAACAATTTCCTGAATTAACGTACTCTCCTCCTAGCTTAATATATTTTCAGTTGTTCAGTGTGTTTGCCTAAAAGAAATTCAAAGCCTACATCTTTAACTGGTTCAGAAATAATCAGCTTGTCATCAAATGACACCTTCGTAATTATATTTACTTTTTGACTTGAATAAGAAATAAAAGAATGAAATATTCTGCGTTTCTGTATAACACTGAATAATTTCAGGGCTTGAAAGCTGGTCAATGAACATATTCCTTTAACAAAAGCTTTCCGTATTGCCTTCAGTGTAAATAAATTAGCACTCGCCTTTAATCAATAGGAGAATCAAAAGCGTTGATCACTCTCGGGAATAACTTTTGAAGCCCTTAAACTACTTCACTGATAACTGCTAATAGTGTACAATGTTTCATATTTAAGACAAACATACGATTAGAGTATATTTTATATGCTATATCCATTGCATATTGTTTTTTTACGGAAAAGTAAGCTAAAAAAGAAAATGTTAGAAAGTAGAAGATAATGAAAGATAGTCTAGTTAATTTGTTTAGGCAAAGCACTCACTATCTACTTTAGCTAAAGGGTGCCTTAGTGGAGGGTTTTCTAAGGAAAACTGGCTTCTATATACGTTACACATGGAGAAAGCCATGAAAGCACCAATGCAACCCGCCCTGGACTGTTAGCCCTGGGCCAGCGTTCAGTGACTTTACCGCTGGGCCGCTGGGGGTCTAATATAATGAAAATCTATTCAACACTGAAATAATTCAAGGTACGTAAGGGAGATACCCTTTCTTTGTAAACTACCAGAATATATATCTGCCAATATGTACACTCATAGTATCTTTCAAGATAAAAAAATCTGTGTAGGTATGATACGTTTTGCTAACATTAAGCATAAATTGTTATAGGTTTGTATACATTTTTCATGGTAAATGATAAAAATGTCTAGTACGCAAATGCAAGTTTTGCGCTTATAAAATATTCAGTTTTTCTAAGTCCAGTACAAACATCCTACATTGTCTCAAGTAAAATTTTCGTTTCATTTCTTGAATGCAATCCGTATTCAAATTGCGCTATTTCAGTCTTCCATTCCCCGTGGATCAATTGCATATTTAATTTGTGTGTTATACGGTTTACAGAAACAAAACGTTTTGAGAAAAAGAAATATGTTGTTAGTTTTCCTTCCCTTCCCTTAAAAAAGTACTCAAAAGAACTTGATTAGACTCCCAATTGTTATTTCTCCTCATACCTATGAAGCATACTCACTGGACAGATCATATACTAGAATGCTGATATCAAGAAGGCGTATAGGGCAAGGGCGCCAACAGGGCGGAGTCGCGGAGCCCTTTTTTTGCCGATTCCGCGGAATCTTCAGGCGCCTCCAAGGGCGACGCCAAAGGACTTAAAGTCCCCTCTACTACTTCCCCACCTTACAGGAGACTACCTTTCCATTGCTATGGCCACAGACATTCGGAGATACGAAGACGCTCGAATGCAAGCTATTTTGGTTTGTTTGTCAGTTTTTCAAACGAACGTCGATAAGATTGAAAGTCTCTATTCTCTGGTGATGTTAACACTGGATTATTCATCCGTTGGAGAAACTTCTAATGATTGCTGTTGTGACTGGATGTTTGAAAATGAAAAGAAAAACCTGACGCTATTGATTCTTTTGATCTTTATTCAGATAGTCTTAGGTGAAAGCAATTGATCCATGGTTCAAAGATTGTTAAATTACCAAAGATTAATCCATGGTTCAAAAGTTATTGGTAGCGTGGTAAAAAAAATATAATTAAAAAACGAGATATTCTATTTCTTGCATTTTAAAATAACTCTCTAACTGAAATTTCTTTTCTCTTCATATTCTGCACATTAATGGAAAACGTGAATGAAAAAACCAAAAATTTAATATCCTTTGCTAGATCAATGTTAAAGAAACAAAGCCTTCCTCACAATTTTTAACACATACATATCATTACTAAAATTCAAATAACACAAATAGGTAATGATGGTGTATGTTGACTATGCTACAGTGAAAATGAAGTAATTTCCACTTTAAACTTCAAATGGCCTTACTAAAAAGCAAAAGCTTATAGGGATTTATTTTAATTTCCTAATAATTACTTATAATTTTAAAATCACATTCCTATATTTCCTTGTTTCGCACGAACAGTTCCCTTCCAAAATGAGTTTTCAGTATCGCGTTTTATATAAAGGAAGTAAAACCATTACTTGATGTGAAGTGCGGTCACTTTCGTAGAATCTCTCAGAAGCTCTAACTAGAGCGTGTCCTGCCTTCTGACCACGTCATTGCTTTAAGGCAGTCTTATTACGCTCGGTCGTATCCTAATGTGCCTACTAGTATTCGCATGTGAGGTTTAAATAAAAGCAACTCGGTTAGTTATTTCTATACAGCTTCGGTTAAGTTTTAGTAGTTAGAATTAATTTAGTTTCTTATTTTTTAACTTAAGTTAAAGCCCGAGTGGAGGTTTCCTGTAAGCCCAAGAGAATGCCGACTGTTATTATTCTTTGAGTTGAAAGAAAAAGCATTTTAACCCTTCTTTGGACTTTGTTTCTGTAGTTGTAAGGAGAGCAGTAAATAAAAGCTATACTCTTCTCTAGTTCTAGTTGCCAAGGGCACTCAATTTAACTAAAACTTTATAAAGTCAAGAACACTGAATGGTTATCAGCTAATGATAAAAGAAGAAATTCTCGATGAAATGAACTGAGAAATTTTATTTAAAATTGACATTAAATAAATATTGAATTTTATGCAATTATTAATATATCACCATTAGAAAAATGGTAGTGTTTCAAAAGTATATCATTAAAATAAAACATTAAACAATTTGAAGTTATTCAACGATTAAAACGTTAAGAAACTTTCGAAATTTCCGTTTTAACTTAGTATGTTTTAATATTTATGCCAATTATTGAAAAGTCTAAAGAATGACTGTAGTTTGTTGTACGATTGTTATACTACTGTTTTAAAAGTTGTATTAGTCGTGTTTTGAATCCTCCGAGTTACGCAATTACTGTTGGAATGGTTACTGCAGTCCTTTACTGTACTGGCTAGGATCTGTACCTAGGCAGTCTCAACCACGGGGGTATGCAAATTATCTTCACAGGACTAGAACCCGAGTATTGTACTCAGGTTGGTTCAGGCTTGGCAGGGACCGTACTGGTACTGTCGTGTCTGTTCCTTCGGCTGTGGTGGAGCTACATGGTTTATATTGTCGACTGAGTTCCCGGGGTTTGACTTTGACCCCATTCAGTTTTCGTGGCGGGGACTGACAAAGCGGACAGAGCACCTTAATACAATGTGGTTTTGCCGACGGAGTGGTGCCCGGAGGCAAGATGACAGCGTTTTAAAATTTGCAACGAAGCGTTCTGGCAATGCTTAGTAAAAGCCGGACGGGGACTGCGGGGGTTGCGCCCGCAAGAACGAAGGTCCCACGGGTGTTGGATAATTCAAACTCTTTATGGGTTCCGTATAATGAGAACCTCGGTGGGAGGTCCTTCACCCGGTGTGTCAGTCCCTTACTGTACATATTTAAGATAACGAATGTTAGTCATGTCCAGTGCTGCGAAAATGAATACGCTGTGAAACTATTCTGAGGCACTAGGTTAAATTGAGGCAATCTAGTCGAGCAGGATAAGATTGGCTCAAACTTCTCGATTTCTACTTCTCATTTATATGTTTGCCCTTTACCTCACGTTGCTGCGTCAATTTTAACAGGCGGATCATTTCGACATGTCAAATTTCGAAATAGAAATTTGTTATAATCCTGGTATTCTTTTTCAGTATCATACAATCATGCTGAAATGTAATTATTTTCTCCTTTGTAACGAACAAATCCCTTAGTTTTTATAGTCCTCTTACCTAGCTATAAGCAATAGACAAATATGTAAACAAAAAATAAAACAAACGATACCTGTAAACTTTTCCACCCGTAAACAAATCATTTATATTGTTGTGACATATCTCACCTGTCTGATGGTAATATCAAAACAAGCCCACGAAATTCACCCTGGCAAGGACTGCAAGATTGCATCTGTCATTGGCAAGACCCCTGAACACCATACAGTACGACTGTACAACTTTCGTCAGTTCCGCCTTAAATTTTGATAGATATCACCCCCAGCAGGGCGGATCCAAAGGTATTCCACCCCTCCTTCCCTACCACCAACCTCTCGAAAGGATTTTCGACTCGGCGCATATTTTTAGTGCCTCCATGCCGTACAGACACTATACATTTACTAACATCCATGCCTTCTCCGGAATTCGAGCCCAGGTCCTTTGGTGGGGCAGACAGCGTCTCTTACCACTATCCAGGTTGGGCAGCCGACATATTAGTAATTTATTTATAGGTAGAACGGCAAATGATTTCTGGATCAGATAAAAATAAGTGAAATATTCTTCACAACAATTTCAAACATAGATACGACATAAATCAAATCACTTACCTATATCCTAGGATTTCCACATTGTTAAAACACAAAAATACGAAATAAAATACATATAATATACACGGTACATGTGATATTCTCAAAATCCAGCATCAATGAAATTCATCTTTAGTTGCTAGAATATTGAAATTCTCGAATTCTCTCTGATGATTAGAGGAAAATGACTTAGTTCTCACAAAATCAAAAGTTTACTACTTGATTTTTACTTCTGGAAACACTTGAATATTTTTATTTAGCTCTAGATTATTAACTGCCCTATAGCACCATGATAAAAAGATCTATCTCTCTTTTAATGAGACTAATCTTATTATCATTTAACCGATATTCCCAGAAGGGTAGTATTAACTGTAACGCTATGGTTTATAAACTAGGAGAGTCATTTCCATCAGATTCATCTTACCATTCATGCAATAGCTCTCGTTGAAATGACAGCATCGACTTTGGGATTCAAAATACCGCTACCTGTAGCTATGGTTTATAAACTAGGAAAGTCATTTTTATCAGATTCATTTTACCATCGGCTATATGACAGCATCGACTTTAGGATTCTGAAGTACCGCTAACTGTAGCTATGATTTATAAACTATGTTATCATTTTTATCAGTTTTTTTATCAGATCATCAACTCATTTTTATCAGATTCCTCTTACCATCATTCAATAGCTATTGTTGAAATGACAGCATCGATTTTAGGATTCTAAAGTACGCTAACTGTAGCTATGGTTTATAAACTAGGGGAGTCATTTTATCAGATTCATCTTACCACCATGCAATAGCTATCATTGAAATGACAGCATCGACTTCAGGGTTCTAAATTACCGCTATCGTTCTGAAGAGATTCTATCGAATTTTCTACGAGCGTATGGGATACCAAACATATTAACAATAGTAAAGAGAAGACGTATAATTACCTGCCCAGGAAAGACAATTCTGGCAGAAAGCCTATTGAGTTTGGCTAACTCTGATGGAGTGGTATCGAAGCGGGCGGCAATTCCTGCTAAAGTGTCATTTGCTTCAACCTAGTAAAAAAAAGCATTAAATTATTTGGCTTTAAAAACATGTATGAGAATAAATGTTATTAGTAAAAATTGAATATGCAAAATACAAAGTCGCCTGAAAAATTATATGTTTTTCATTCATTAAACCTAGGCGAAGCAAAGCTAAAACGAGCATGACGTATCTGTCGAGGAAAATAGTACTGAAACATGAAAAACTAAGAGATTAGAATTTTGAAAGCGTTGAGAGAACTGTTTGAGAATTCACTTTATTAGCTAAAGAAGATAAATGTTTGTGAATGGCAAAAGTTTTAAGAAAAACCAGCTCATCGCCTGAAGAAGCATTGAGAAAAATTTTAACAGAACCAAAGTCAAATTTGTGTTTAAGTAGTACGTAACTGTGATTTGCTAACGAAGATCTAATTTTTTCTCCTTTTTCAACATAGGATTCTTGTTTTTGGATGTGAAAAGTTGACGCTGTTTCAGTTGGATAGATATATGTCAAACCACACTGGCAATATATTCTAAGAATTCCCCAAGAATTTAAATCAGGGATGGGATCTTTAAGAATCCCATCTTTAATTCTAATTCTTTGAGAACTGAATAAAGAATTTTACTGAAAGATAAGAAAATGACTTCGGAAATAAAATTCCGTAAAATCCGACTAACTTTGTAAATAATAGAAGGATGAAATTGGATTACGACAAAGCTGGTACTGTTATTTCTATTAGCGGAATGCCTTTTATGATGATAAGAGGAAAACATTTCATTTCCTTCCTTCTCCGAACGCTTTCATTTAGCCGAGGAAGGGAAAAAATATTTAGAGTTTTATTTAATTTATTTTATTTATTTATTCATTTATTTTATTTATTTATTTTTTTTTCTTTGTTTTGTTTGTTTGTTATTTTTGTTCATTCAGCTGTTAGGTTTTTTTTTAATACTGAATTCCAGAAATTTTGGGTCTTTTAATCTGGCTAGGGTTAAAACATTTATTTATAATTTAAATTCTTTGCATCAAAATTAAATGCATTTTTATCACTTTCCTTTAAAAAAACCTATTATCTTTTTGCTTAGCTATACATTTATTTCTAAAATAAGGATACTTGTAAATTCATAACTCTTCCTTTACCAAGCCCTTTCGTTTTTTCATAACAGTAAACTAAATTAAAAAGCTAGTTTTCTCTAACTAATAAAATGTCTATAATTATTCAAGTAACTAAAAGTTTATTTTCTTAGCTTTACTATTTTCTTGATAAAAATCTAGTTCAGACAAGATATGGCATGCAAAATCTTCAGTTTAAACAGAAGATATTCAGTCTTCTGTATGCTTCTATAAGAATGTGGGAAGAATTATTTCTGTCAAGCAGATAGTCTGAAGACAACCCGTTTTCTAATGCAACATATTTTCGATCTTTTATTCCGGTCATCGCCATTAAAAACAACAAAGAAAAATTTATGACGGGCACTAGCCATTTTTATGGCTTTGGATAAGGCCAGAAGCGGTAGCCATTTTATTTATGGAGGCATCTAATAGGCGGCTACCGTTACCTCCTGTAAGGAATAGATAATTACATCAACGTCTTTTCCGGTATTCGAACCCGAGATCTTCGGCACGACAGTTAGACTCACTAACTAGTTTCCCGTTTGAGCAACTAAACTAATTCTAAAATCATCCTTCCGCTGAATCTTTCTAATAGAACTTTAATGCTTATTATGATACTCACCTAATCCTACCAAATTTAGAAACGCTTGAGCTTAGATACATTATGAGAAACACAAACATCTCTAAAATGATTCTAAACCCTGAATTCTCATTTTCACTTAGTTATTTCCACTGAAAAACGCGGCTTCTATTGAAATGGACCTCGGTTCTTTTAATTACTCGAAGGATGTTTGTTGAAGTAAATTACCACTTATTTTTCATACTTGAATAAAATTCCTGAACTAAAAGTTTGTTAAACCCAAGTAATTAAATCGAATCTCTAAGATAATAATGCAAAGTTTAATCCTTAACTTATTCTCTTTTCTTACTAAATTTTAAGCAGACACTTTTTAAGGCAAATTACCGTTAGAATCGTTAGTGTACGATCTGCGGCTTTTAGTTAGATAGGTATTTCTTAGTAGGCAAACCACAGAACTGAAGGACCCTGAGTAGTAGTAGTTGGTTTAACATGTTGAACTGATAAACTTTGGAGTTTTTATCGTCGAGCGATGACATACCGGAAAGTTAGTACCCAAAATCCAGTGGGAAGTATTACTTGATTCAATTATCATAAGTTACGTACGGCAGTTTTACCAGAGGCTGGCCAGATCCAGAGGATATCCAATATCCAATACCCATTACCAGAGGATATGATCACCGAATCGTCGACCATCAAAAGAACTTTGTAGTCCTGCAAACTGTGCCAACACTCGAAATACTGAATAGGTTTGGTGGACTTTTAAGCTGAGAAATCGGAATTCTTCACCGTAAACTGAAGCTTGGTGGAGATCCGTTAATTCAAACATAATACCATCATGATGCTATTATTTTTGAATAAATAGATTCCTTATACATAAAAAAAAAATAGATTTCGTATTCGAAAATGCAATAAAATGACGGGTAAAAAAATGATTGAAACAGACAATTTTAGTGGCGTCATCTAATAAATAAATAAATAAATAAAAGCTGTATACCACGTGCTACATCAATACCGTTAAAACAGCACTTCGCCTAAAAATTAACCGTCTTATATGAAAACCATTCTAAATTGCCTCCATACTCTTAAAAACAGAATGCATTAAAAATTAAGCCTTAAAAGTTAAAATAACGGCAGTATTCTTCAAATTAAATATTTTAGTTCAATAATAATCAGAAGAAAGTGTTTGTTTTTCTTTTAGAAGAAAATTTTTGTCCTTTTTTAAAAAAAGTGTTCAAATTCCTTCAGATAATACAGAAAACATGGTACAAAGATACAGGGTGATCAGCGAATAAGGCCTGATTTCAAAATTAAATATCTCTACAACAAAAATCGGTAGAATTATGCGGTAAACTGTACATTTATTAGCAAAACTGTAAAAATGGTGTACAAAAGTTTAGAAAATTTAGTTACGAAAATCGTTAACAGATGGCGCTCTACGCATTGAAAACTCTTTCTCTGAAAGGAGTCTTTAAAAAAAATTAATTAAAAAAATAAAGTGAAGCAGCCTTTGCAATCAAAATACAATTTTTTCAAAATGTTTCACCGCTTCGAAACAATGAGGTCGGAGTAAACGAACAATGAAATTTGACATCACATCTTGCAGTGTCTCGACGTAAATGGAATCACATGCAACACCAATAAACGATTCAAGCTCATCTAGAGTAGCAGGATTGTTTCGATAGACAGCGGCTTTCAATGCGCCCCACAGAAAGAAGTCACAAGGATTCAGATCGGAAGAATATGGAGGCTAAGCTATTCCTGTGTCAGTAAATTGAGGATAATCTAACGCAAATACTCTATTCCCAAAGGATTCATGAAGAAAGTGAAAAACTTTATTTGTTCGATGTGGTCGAGCTCCATCTTGCAGGAACCAGTCGATACCTGGTCGATCCTTCAACGCCAGTTGAGTGCTGACAAATTGTTCCAAAATTGTAACGTAACGTTCAGCAGTTATCGTTTCTCGTACGAAAAAGGGTCCGATAATGCCTCTGGAGCATATCGCAGCCCATGCAGTAACTTTAGACGAATTGTCCATCGCCATAGACGACTTTAGGGGAAAAAGCCTCGCCTAAACGTGGGCTTTTTCTTCATACACAAATGAGGATTTTCGGTACCCCAAAATCTCCAGTTTTGTTTTTTTTATTAACGATTCCATTCAAATGAAAAATGTGTCCTCATCTGTGAACCAGATGCAGCTCACATCAAATCTGTCGTTGTCGATCATTGTTAGAATCTGATTCGCAAAGTCAACCCTTTGTTGCACAGCTTTCATGGGTATGGGCCCGATGACTTTGGACTTTTGTATGGAAATAGCCGTAGGCTATTTTTTAATATTTTTTGTGTGCTCGTGTACTTCAAACCTTTCTCTGATGCAATCTGTCGGATGCTTTTCCTAGGATTTTGCTGAAAAAATCCAGAAACTTTGGCTGCATTTTCAGGAGTGACTATAGTTTGCTTAGGCCAAACATTTCCCTTTCGATCATCAGCCACGCTGCCAGTCCATTCGAATTTCGCGAAGAGCATGCGAATGGTTTTCGCATCGGATCCAACTAGAACACTGAATCGGTTTTGAAAACTGCGACGTGTTGCCGTAGGACTGTGTTCTAATCCGTGAAATTCCAAAACTAAAATACACGTTGTTCACTAGAATACATTATTTCACTTTCTACGCTAGCCTCTTTTCACTAGTCAACAGTTGTACTGATTACTTTCGACTTCGAAGCACATTTTAAAGGCTATTGATAGGTCATTGCGATTAGAGCACCATCTGTTACCGATTTTCATAACTAAATTTTATAAACTTTCGTACACCATTTTTCGAGTTTTGCTAATAAACATGCAGTTTACCGCATAATTCTATCGATCTTTGTTGTAGAGATATTTAATTTTGAAATCAGGGCTTATTCGCTGATCACCCTGTATAAAGCTTTTAAAGTTAAACTTAGCTTCTTCCTTTATTTAATGTAGTAGCTTGCCTATACATACAGATAAGATGAGAAACCCATTGTTTATAACACTGGCGGAAATCACATTTTTTACGGTTTGCTGTAATAACATCAACTGAGATCTTCTGGCTTCATCTATGTTTAAAAAAACATAGTTTTTCTAATAATTACTTTTTTCTAAATTAGGCTAATGTCAGAAAAGGATCTAACTAGGCTGATTCTAGAGCCTTCGATAGTAAGAAGCCTCGTCTCGATCACAAGTGTTACGAACAATGTATAAGCTTGTGAAAAAATTATGTATACTTGATGGCTGAACGATGTCAAATAACTAAGCTTTCAAAGGGAAAAAATAATCGTGTATCTAGATTATTTTGGGGAAAATTAAATGGATTCAAATACCCGGGTAAAATATATTTAATATAGTTTTTTCGCTCTCTGCTTCAATAAATAATAAATTACTGTATTTGCCGGTGTATAAGACGTACCGGCCTATAAGACGCAACCACTTTTTTATACGCATTTTTGAAGGATAAAACTTTATTACTCATCATTATAATGAATTTACAGTATTTTAAATATAAAGTAATACAAATACAAAGTAATATTTCTGCAAATACCCAATATATCTGGAAAATAACACCTTTCAATCTTCGTCATATCCCAGACACTTATCTCCAGAGCTAAATGAAGATTCACTTGAAGCCTCTTCTAAATCAGCATTTGAGTCTTCATACAACAAACTGTCCTCTGTACCATCCAGTGCATTACTTCTTAAATGATTTAACAACTGTCTGTCTCTGTTTCCAAAGCATCTCATGAAGCTTTGACCCATTCACAAACTTGCGAAATGCTGGGCCTCTTCCTTGATCCTGATGGTGTAACCTCAAAATCTGAACACTGCATCCAGCTGTTCCACTTCTCCTTCATAAATCCCTTAAATGGTTTATTGATGCAGACATCTAAAGGTTGAAGCTGACTAGTTAGGTCTCCTGGAATTACAGCTAACTGAGTTTTCAATTCTTTGAGTTTATTTTTAACATCTTCTGTTCTGCGGGAACGAAACTGGCTCCATACTAGTAGGGCAGGTTCCTTCAACAGTCCGCCATGGTGCCTCGACCAAATTTTATTTATTCATAACTTCATTCCTCCTCCATCCATCCAGCCTTTTGCGTGAACGTGTATAAACACTCCCTTAAGCAATGTACGAGTATAAACAATCCTTTAGCCAAGGAAATTTCCAGAAATGAACGTAATCAAAAACTAAGTATCGACATATAAGATGCAGAAGACGCATCCCGTTTTTCAGAACCTATTTACAAAGGAAAACAAATGCGTCTTATAAGCCGGCAAATACGGTAATTATGCGCAAAACTTATTTTTTCATGTGTGAGATTATTTGGTGTAAGCTTTTTTTCGGAAACATTCAGTTTTTTAAACTGAATATAAATTAAATAAACTGAAATAAAACTGAAAATGGAGAAAATTTAGGTTAAACAAGTGTAATCATCTGTCGAAGAATAACAGCACATGAAAAAGAAGAATGATAACACATAATAACTGGAAAATCTTTCATTACCTTGTACTGTTCTGTTCCTTGAGGCTGTGTGAATGTCCGACTGAGAGCTTTCTTTTCAACTGCTGATGGTCCTACAAGCAAATAAGTTGGATGCGATAACTAGTACTTATATAATACAGTGTATTGAATATAGCCTTTCTAAAAATTCGAAAAAGGAATTACTGTTTTTAATCAGCGATAAAATTTTGTTACAAAGAAAGAGCAGAAAATAAGTGAACATTACTGCCAGTCGATAAGCATATGATATCGTTTATTTGTTTTCCATATCCCATATATGCTGCTCATCTTCCTCTAAAACGTTATTTCATCTATGCTCTTAATAATATTTTACAAGAAGGCTTATTTTAAATTATAAGTGTTGTAAATAAAATGCATTTCTAACATCGTAAAATATACCAAGACTTTTAACTTTGCTTTTCCAGTATACAGTGTCTAACAAAAGTGATGGGACACTTGTGCTTTACAAAAAGAAACTGTAGTAAAATAAATTTAAAAAACATGCAAAAATTTTTTGTGGGTGTGTTTCATATTTAAATTTAGTAACAATTGTTACATAACATACATTTTCTCAAAATATTAAAATATTAATTTAATAAAAATACAATTGTTTAGAACGGAGCAAAAAATGGCTCACATAAGTGATAGGACACTTACTTTTCCATCAAATATTTATTCAAAAATTTTATTTTTAAAAAGTTTTTAATATTTTGTTGGATTTCCTTTTACTTTTAAAACATGATTTAATCTTCTTGGGATGGATTCGACTAATTTTTTGGTGATTTCTGGAGTGATTTTACCACATTCTTCTTGAAGCACCGATTTTAATTGTTATTTTGAAGAAATGGTGTGTTTGCGAATTCTTGATTCCAATTCTTGCCAAATATTCTCTGTGGGATTTAAGTCTGGAGATTGTGGTGGTGTTTTTATTATTTCAGGACAGATATACAGCAGCCAGAGTCTAACGTTCAAAGCAGTGTGCTTCAAAGCAGTAACGTGTCATTGTCCTGGTAGAATTTAAAATCGTTATGACGTTATGAAGGTTCAATTTTCGTGCTGAAGATTTCAAATTTTGATTTAAAATGTCAGTATACTTGTACTGATCCATTATACTGTCAATAAAAACAAGATTAACAACTTCAGCGGACGATATACACCCCCATACCATAACTCCTCCTCCGCCATGTTTTACTGTTGGCACCAAGTTCTGTTTGCGAAATTCTTCCCTGGATTTTCTCCACACCAAGATTCTACCGTCAGAACCAAATATATTAAATTTATTCTCATCAACAAATATAACTTCATTCCAGTAATCATAATTCTTATTTATGCTGGATTTTGCGAAAGTCAGTCTGAGTTCTCTATTCTTTTCACTTACGAAGAATTTTTTCCTGGCTGCTCTACCGTGATATCCAGCAGATCGAATTACTATTTAACAATTACTCCATATAATGCTTGTAAATCAGCAGCAACTTTAGGAGCACTCATTCTTGTTTTTTTTTTTTTTTTTTTTTTTTTTTTTTTTCTTTTTTAATATTTTGAACGATAATTCGCTTTATTCCATTGGATAGCTCTGATGGTGGGCCAGGTCTTCTTTTATCCTGAATCATATGATTCTTTTTATATCGTTTAATGATATTGAAAACTGTTGAATGACTCACGTTAACTGTTTCAGCTGTTTCTCTAAGAGATTTTCCACATTCAATATGCAAATTAATAACTAATTCTCGAATTTCAGGCAAAGTGTCTTTTCGTTTAGCATTCATGGCTGCACAGAGCTAAAAAACACAAAACTTCCAAACAAACTGGAGAGAAATACTGCAGACGATTTTATAAATTATTGCCAATTGCTTTTGAGTAAAAATAAAAACCCCAAAAAAATTTTTTTATTGTAGTACGTAGTAGTAGTACGTAGTAATAGGTGTCCCATCACTTATGTGAGCCATTTTTTGCTCCGTTCTAAACAATTGTATTTTTATTAAATTAATATTTTAATATTTTGAGAAAATGTATGTTATGTAATAATTGTTACTAAATTTAAGTATGAAACACACCCACAAAAAATTTTATATGTTTTTTTAATTTATTTTATTACAATTTCCTTTTGTAAAGCACAAGTGTCCCATCACTTTTGTGAGACACTATATCGTCTGCATAAATAAAACTTAATGGCAATAACGAAACATTTTGTTAACGTACAGATTGCAATCTTGTATATAGTATATTTCATCTTTTAATTTTATTCAAATTTTAATAAATTTGTGTACTTGTCTTCTACAGCGGCCATTGGAAATTTAAAAAATGATTATATATATATATATATTATATATATTGCTTTGTTTTAATAAATTGTTAACAAAATTGTATTAAAGAAAATAATAGACAGAACTTTCCACTTATGTTCAATAACAAACGGAAAATTTCGGCATGTTTATATATATGTTGTTACTTTAAATAAATTGCTTACATACCTAATTGTATTAAATACGATAATTAATGTGTATTAGGTAAGTTGTGTTGAATTACGTTATTTTAAATAATTGCGGAAAATTTGTATTAAATTCTACAATAAATACAAATTCACATTAAATTCCTTCTGTACGTATATTTTAAATTACTTGTACTGTATAGATATTGAATGAATTGCCTATATAGCATTTAATGTAGTCAGTTTCATATTCATGGATATTCATAATATTTTTCAGCAAATCCCTTTTTTTAAAGCCCGAATTATGTCAAAGCTTTTTCTCTTAACAAAGACGCTACAAAAAAAGTACTGTAACTTTTAATACGATTCTTTTGCTTGTGTATATGTTGTTACTATTGTTGTTTGTATGATTTTCTGTTTTGAAAAAGAAACGTATAAATGAATGCCGGAATTTTCAAAATTAAAATTCATTTTAAGTTGAGTTTCTATTTTTTTAAATAGTAAGGTACAATTTTATGAGTTAGCAACAGTAGATATTTTTTTATTTGAGACGAAAAGCATAATATTGGCATCATTTCGTAATAATTTTTCTTTCATAATTTTAAAGTTATTTCGCTCTCATAAGGGTACTCATATGAAGGTTGGCAAATAACAAACCGTTTACTAAAAATAAATTTGTAACTCAAATTTTAAGAATACTAATCGCTTACCCACTCAGCTCAAATATTTAGTATAAAAAAGAAAAAATAACTTTATGAAGTCCAACTAGTATAATTTCATAAAAAATAATTGAGTTTAATAATAAACTAAAAGTATTGCTTTTTTTATTATATTAATCAATCATTCCAACGATTTTAGACTTTAAACACAATGGAAATTATGCAGTGAAATTCAGTGAATACTATGGCTCATTGCATCTTTCTGTAATATAACAACTACTGTTAATTTTATTCCTGAAAGAATTGAAATGAAGAATAAAAATATTTGAAAGCATTTTGATTTTCAGAGCATAAGCAGTTTACTGTTTAATAAATAAATGGAAAGAGTGAAATACGAATCAGCTCATGTTTTTCCTTAGGTTTTTCTGAAGTATATTTATTTTATTTTTGGTAAGTTATACTGTTTTTAAATACTGATTTTAGCTCAAATATTTTTTCTTTTATTTTTACTGAAGAATTCAATAATAGGGAACACAGTAAGAAACCATAATATTTAAAGAGCATAGTTTCAAAGATCAGTGGTTGACGCACCGTCAGGAGGGCTCCTGACCACGGTTGCCCACCTAACAGAAGAATGCTATCTTGGGGAATTTATTATACCCAACAGAAAACATTTTATATTGGCAAATAAAGCTAGTTAAATTTCACAACGCTAGAGCACTCGCTACATACGTCTATTACAACCGATGCAATAAGTTACATTACAACAATTCTGCTACAATCGATACAAAAACCAAAGCATTCCACAAAAAGCAAGAAATACTACAACTAAAAACAAATAAACAATAGAAAATGTAAATAACAATATTATTATTTGCAAATGTAATGCCTTATTTACCTTAATGGTGTAAGCCTCAGTCTTTAAAATATTCCTCAATCCTGACTTTCTAGGGCCCAGATCGACCAAGTTTTCTCAACGAGCTCCTTCAAGTGTAATGACAGCATCCAACGATACAAGGGTTTGCGCGTCTGCCCTCAGCATATCCACGCATTGGAAAACCCGCATTAGATCTGCTGCTTCAGAGCCCCACAGTTTGCATTGCACAAACACAAGTCGTTTAATATGGCCGGCAGGCAGCTGACCTGACCACTGATTTCCGGAGAAGTAGTCTTTGCTCACTGAACACATCCGTTCGCTCGCCCGGCATGCCGCACCGCAAGAAGTTTTTCTGTTAATTCTAGAATTAGAGCAGTTGATAAAATCCTTCACCTCTGCATCACAGGCTGAGTTAGATGGTCACTGCCCCATTTGACACAAACTGTAGTTGCTGCAAATATGTTCGCACTCTTGAGAGTCATAGGAATGAGTAACGGATATAGATTCCGCAGTATAACAAGATGCAAGCCCAATCAAAAGCGATCAAACTTCTCTAGGGAGTCTGCCATTGACCGATCCAGGACCAAGACCCAACTCCTTCCACCGTCCGTGTGAGAACACAGCTTCCTGAAAGAAAGCTTGTCTGCAATACAGTATTGGAAAGTGTCGCGCTTACATCCTAAAGAGCATCGTCCTCTAGTGCACCAAAAGCAATAAAAGAGAGCCTTCCTCTTTCCAGAGTTCCCAGTGAAAGAGAGGCCTCTACACTTGGCTGATCTTTAACGGCTTATCAAAGTTTCTGTAAATGAGTCCTATTCTTGCAACCAAGAAGGAGTTTCGCTGAATGAGTAGAATGCACATGTAAAATCGAAACTCCAACATACGCCGAATGGACGTCAGAGAAGAACTATGCCCCCAGAAGCAGCGGAGGTCAAGAGGAGTCTCTTGAGCTAATGAGAAGATCGCGACTAAAATGGATAGCATTTGTACTATCAGTGGTTTAAAAGTAAAATCGGTTATGTTTTCTTTCCTGGAACAACCTCAGAGAAACGAGTTTTATTAGACTTCAGTTCCACAGCGACCAAACTCTGTAGCACCTCTGCTACCGACAGCAGGTTCACTTATGTTCCATTTGTCGTTCTGTGTTTCAAAATTCGACTTTCCAGCAGAGCAATTTACAGCCCTTGCTCAGTCAAAAACCTCCGTATGTTAGAGAGGCAGTTCTTCAAAGCGTTACAATCTCAACAGTTAAGAGAGCAATGAATCCGTCACAAAGATGATTGATGTGAAATATGCAGTAAAAGGTCATTAAATAGCATTACCTTCATCTTTAGAGGCAGTTTCCGGAGCTGTTTCTCCAGACGTCGCTGTGTCTGCTTGCACCTGATGGTCCGGGTCTGTGCTACGAGTTTCTGCTTGGTCCTGCGTTGTAGCCGAATCACTCTCGCTCCTAAAACGAAGGAAGTCTCAAATTTAGAGGATAAAAAACCTTTTGTTAAATCATCAGCCTAAGCGCATAATTCTAGCTGTCTTACAGATTTTAAACTCTTAAGGTAAACAGCAGATTATTTTATTATTTATTTGCTACAGGCTTTAAAATGATCAATATCTAAAATTTTTTGTTAGTCTATATAAATTCTTTACAATTTTATGTTTCATTTAAGATTATGTCATTCTTTCTATAACGTCCTAATTTTTTTCAACTTTCTACTCATTTCAGACAGAATTCGATTTTTTTTTTTTTTTTTTTAGTTGCTTGTATTTTTCTTGAAATTTTCTTTATACACTTTTTATGTCAACATGTTTCTCTTTTCTCTCTGGAACTTTTTGAAATCAATTTACTATTTTTCCCCGTTACGTCCTGCTATTCTCTTATTATTTTTTGTAAACAATCCAACAATTATGCATCTTCTAGGCATTGCGGGAATTTCAGAATAGCATGGCAGATTAGAGTCGAGCGCCCAAAAAAATAAGACACTGACAGTTTCCCTTACTTACATTCCTGGCAGTTTAACAAATGAAATTGAAGTTTTGTTTTATTCGTGTATAATGTAAACTCACTTCGGTTTCTCTTAAAGACCTCCATAAAGGCATCCGTGCAAGCAGATAGTCTGAATATGCTTTGCCAACTCATCTTGGTTATGTCCAACTCTTGGCTTGTACTTAATCATTTAGTACTTTTTTGCTTTTGATTGTCATTTTCTAAAGCAGGAGCATTTTGAAACATTTAATTTAGATATCTGCAGGGGGTGAATTTGAAAGAATATCCTCTTACCTTATCACATGCTCTTCGTGGTTCCCATTTTTAACCCAAAATGTAAGCAAAAACAAAATTTATTCTGTGATAACGTGTTTATCACCTATTTCTGTCATTTTAAGTAGTATTCTGCTGAATAATGCCAATAATTGATTCATTTGTCCTATGTATCAAAATCTGGATGTCGAGCATAGTTGGATTATGGAGTTGCGGCGCGATTGCTGTTTGGATCCTTAATACAGACGTTCCTCAATGTGATGTGAAAATTGCACAGAAAATCATACATTACCCACATTTTAGATGATTTCTCATCTCTGAATATGTATAAATTTATACTACATTCATTTTACGTGTAAATTTGTTCATATCCACGCACAGAGCTTGAAAAATATGCCTATAATCATTATTTTGTTGAAATATCTAGCCCAGACACTTGCTTCCAGTAAAAAGGTTTCTCAAAATTTAATTAGAGAATTTTAAGGGAACACTGAGGATAAGGGCTTTATAAATATAAAATCTAACCTTTCATTTAGTTTCCACAGACCAAAACGTTCAGATAGTGTCACAGTAATCATGCTTTAAAGAGTTAAGTATAAAACATTCTATACCTTTATACCTCTATACAGGCACAGTTCGCGTAAGTATTGGTATCATTAAGCAGTTTCAAGGGAGTAAAGATCAAATTTAATTATTACAAGTTGCATTATTTTTTATCGTGTTTTTACCATGTGGTCTGATGATGATTTTAAAGCGTACATCCCATTTTTGCAAATTGTGAAAAGACGCATATACATTCAAGTTTTGTCGCGACCTACCAAACATGAATGCATAGTTGCGACCCATAGTTACTCTAAAACATTCAAACCCTCGGCCTAAATACTATACAAATAATTTGCAAAGTGGTCAGGGATATGGAAAGAGGAACGTATAGTAAAATTTTAGATAATAAATACAGTGTACTCTTATTTATTCGAGTTGAAGTGCTATTTTTTTTTTATCATTGTATTCGAATTCCCTTTGGCTGAAGAAGTTCAGAAGAGTTTCAACAGAAGTCGTTGCTGTCTTTGGACTAATGTTACTGTCAGTATTTTCTTCGCTTGCATTTTTGGTATCACTCTCTGCTACATCTATTCTTGTGACATTTTAAAAGATAACCACACCACGCAAGCACTGAAAGCAATCGAATCGCCATTCCTCGGTGTTATTCCATTCGACATTTACGTACATATACGACAAATACGTACAAACCAAAAAAATGTAAGTGATCAATAGAAATGATGTCTTCTACTACGCACATGCAGAACGAACGGTACGAGGAATTAATTGAAATTAAACCAAAAGATACAATCCAGCAGCTTTTAGAGCACGCTTTGAACTTGCACGTGTTTGTTTTTTGCAAACTCTTCGAGCACAGCATTGAGTGTGCATGCGAGGGTACCACTATCCACGGATAATCCATAAACTAGGTAATCGCATCCGCATAATGAAGCGTATATTTTAATTGGTTATTAATACAAAATCCTACAAACTAATAATTTTTATATCATTTAGATATCTTGAACGTCTGCCTGTCTGGAAGAAGTAAGTTTAAAATTCATCTCCTGGTTCGCTGCTATGCAATTCTAAAATCATTATTCTTCATAAATAAGATCTTTCAAGACAGACGTAATGATCATTTTAAATAAAAGATAATTTAAAACTACTCATGCATCTTGATGTCGTAAAACTATTATAGGAAATAATATTTTTAAATTTACTTACGACTGGGCTTCAGTTAACGATTCTTTACTGTGGTAGCTCTTTGACTTCTTTCCCCTGCGAAAGGACGGAAGAAAATTTTTATTAAGTATTTTGAATCATACCACATATTGAGAATATCATAAGAAATTTGGATTGCAACAACAGAGGTACTATTGAGAAAACAGTTATTTTCCCCTCAGAAGTTAAGATACTGTATCAGGTTTCAAAAATTAAGCTCCATAAAAATGCAACAAAGGTGAATAAATAAGAGAAATATACTTTAAGATAGTGACAAAAATCATGTGGTCAAATTTTTCTTTTGCGGAATGCACAAGTTTGTATTATCTTTTTAACATCTTTAGATCCTTTTGCCATTAACATGAACAACAGTGAATGTGACTAATATTGTCATGTCAAATATTGCCAGTGTATAAGCTTCCTAAAGTTCAATAATTTCTCCTCTCAAAAATCATTCCGCTGGATCGATATCTCAGATTCAGAATAGATTAAAATGAGTTTGCATCTTAGAGATACTGTGGATTTTGAGAAGCTTCTTTTATCACGGCAAACTTCTTAAAGATAAAGCAGCGTGTGTTATATGGGCATCGTTGGGCAAGGTATCGAATCAGCTTATTTCGAAATTCTACCATTTTCTATGCAAACAAAGAGAAGAACATTTCTGGAAAATATTGTTTCTACTCTGGCTTGAAAGAACGGTGTATATAAATTTCTTAATATCTGTAATTAGGGATATGTAATTTTTCGCATAAAAAACTGGAAATTTCGCAATAAATAAAAATTCAGGAATGAAATTGTAGCTTTTATTTGAGGAAAGGAAGAGGAAGAAATAAAAATGTATGTTTTTTAACTTCTTGTAGTTAAATAAACTGCTGAGAAAGTATGAGAACAATGCAAGCTAAAAATCATTTGTAGTATTAATATTCTCTTGCTTAAATCCTTATCCTTTGTCTGTAATTACGACATTATGGATCTTAAATTATCTCACAGCATCCACACTAAAAGTTTTGAATAGCGTTTGCGAAGTTTTGTGATAAAATGAAGTTACTTTAAGAGCCTCAGCGTGAGAGTTCTGATTGACATCAGCGTGAGAGTTCTGATTGACAGCTGTAAGAAGTTGCTTATGGAAATTGTAGAGCCATTGAGTTTTTTGATGCTGGATACGGGGAAAATGTGTAGTGCCCTCTTCGGGTTTCGAACTCTGAATCTCCCGAATACACGTCGAGTTTGCTTCCAGTTACACCACGAAGGCATGCGGAAAGAGGGAGAAAATACCTTATATATTCCACCTTTTAAAGGGCTACTGTGGATTAGGAGGCCCAATCGCCAAATCCAAAAAATCACGCCCAGCTGGGTGATCTGATTTATGCACCGTAGTACTGGCTTTTGAGCATAATCTAATCGTATCCCTAACCATTTTCCCCATTTAAAGCACATTTTTGCATTTGAAAACTACTGGATATTGTAGCCTGCCACTTAATGCTGCGTGAGTTCAATAATTTCTCGTTTAGAAAGGCAAAAAAAATTAAATAAACTCAATAGTAAATCAAAAATCTGAAACAGCTCAGATTTTGAAACAGCACTTGATTAATGCTAGTCAATGTGTACCTACACCAGTGTAGGCAAACACTGACTAGCATTGTGTGTCATTATGATATTCTCTTAATGGCTTTTTAAACGAGCATTATGATACCTACTTATATCTATGCATCATACAAGTGTATCACTTGGGTACAAAACCCTCTTGTGCAAATTTCATTTTTCTGTCAACTATATCCCTTTTACAGCTGATAATAATATTGAAAATTTATGATCGCAAAATTAAACTATTTATTTAGAAAACAAAATAGAAGATAGTCTCTCTTATTCTACAGATTGCGACACTATAGAGTAGATGAGTAAGGCGACTAGTTGGTAAGTACATACAGGAGGGAAATTAAGTACTCGCATGGGCCAATGAAAGATAGGCAAAGACTCTGAATAACATGCGGCGAGACTTTGAACGACAAGCGTTACACTTCTTAAACCTTTCAGTACCTAATTTTCACAAGTTTTGATTTTTAGAAAGGTCATAACCATACTTATCGTATTTAATCGCTAACTGAAAAATTTTGCATTTATTCGCATCTATTTCGCAAATACAAATTTGTGTATCCCTAAATTAGAATGCCTGGATATCACATGTCAATTCAGTATCACTTTGAAATTCCCGTATTATTGCAATTTCCTTGCCGCTTAGCAACAATCGGTGCCCGTAGCAACCACTGCAGTGCTTAACAATTATGATCTGTGCAGATGAGATTCCTTTTATAACCATCAGTTAATTATTTGAAGTACTTAATAAGTATTCTTTGTGCTTAAAGCATCCCTATTAAACTCTTACCATGAAATCAGATCCTGAGAAGTTAATTCAAATTGTCACTTAACAGTAATTCGGCCAACTTGTGATAATTTAATTTATTTAACTAACAAGTTAATTTTTATTTACAACTTTACCGTCCTTTCTTAATTAACGTGGCATCACACATTCAAAACATTTCAGAACAGCTCTTTAAAACAATTTTTCTGCTTTGTAACACGATATGAAACAGCCAAACATCACGGATTGTTTTCGGAATACCATGTATAGGAAAAATTAGTTTCCCATTACAAATGATAGTTGATGGCAGACGATTTGATGCTGGTAACTGATTTGTTGTTAAAAACGAACAAAGTACATTTGTTTACAAAAGTGTTAAGGAAAATTCTTATGTATTTTTGTTGTATATAATTAGTTCGTAGTATTTTTACTGTGCATAATGTATTCTTAGTTATTATATTATTTTTTGTGTTTAATGAATTTGTATTGAGCTTATTTTAAATTAATGTTTAATATTTAATACTGTTAAACTTTACGGCAAAACTCCCTTAAGTTTGGCTGAATATGTGTTACAGTTAAAAGGGCGCGGTTGTATTTCCGTTTCTCACGCGTAGGCGTCTTTGGAGGTTAGAGGTCACTGTCCAGCTGCATTTTTCCCCTTTTTTCGCGGGGGTTGAAAACACGTGTTTTTCTCGTCCAGAGGAGAATAGTTCTAAGGGGCAGCGATATTTTGACAGAGTTATAGGTTGGAAACATTCTTCTGTTGCGTGGGAAAGAAAGGGTCTGTCTTCTTGTAGAAAGTTCTGAATTTCTGAGAATTTCAGTGGCGATTTATTACCTTTCTTCTAATTGGCGAAAGGGAGTCCTAAGTTTTCGTTAAGATTGGCTAAATTTTTTAAATTTTAGTGTTGTTTGAACCAATAGTAATTTTGAGGCGTTTCTTGGTGAGGGTAAACCGAGGTTTCTTAAGCCGTTGCACGGGAAGGCAGGGGATCTTTTTTTTTGGACTTGAAAAAATAGCGATTTGTAGAGAAGACTTTGAAGAGGTTTTTTTTTGGAGCCTTAGGGGTTTGCGACTTTGACGGCGGCCCCTACGGGACCGGCCACGGTGTGAGGTGCTGAGGAAAAACGCGGTCGGTCGACCGCGGTATACAGTTAAGTTTTTATCTCCGAGATTTCTGGGTATGGAGGGCGGAGGGTGCTCGGCATGTTGACGGCGGCAATTCTTGCGGCTTATTATTTTCATTTCGTCGCTGAGATCTCTTTTTCCCATTTGTGGAACAGTCTGAACTGCTCGTTCGTGCTATTTTGCTTTAGAAAAGGGAGTATCTATTTTGCTTTAGAAAAGGTGGAAATATGGAAAGTCGTCATTGCCTGAGGTCTGCTTTGGTCTTTTGTCTCCAGTTTCGACCTCTTTCTCTTATCTTCAGTGGAACTTCGAAAACGGGAAGATGATTGAGTGAAAGTGCTGCTTAACGGAGGAATTTGAAAACTTTAAACTGGAACTATGAAAAGGCTCCGGTTCCGGAAAACAACGATGAAGATTTGGATGTTATTGTTTCGGGATTTGTAATTTAGATCGGGGCAGCTCCCTGAGTCAAATTGAAAACTATGAACTATGAAAAGGCTCCGGTTCCGGAAAACAACGATGAAGATTTGGATGTTATTGTTTCGGGATTTGTAATTTAGATCGGGGCAGCTCCCTGAGTCAAATTGAAAACTATGAACTATGAAAAGGCTCCGGTTCCGGAAAACAACGATGAAGATTTGGATGTTATTGTTTCGGGATTTGTAATTTAGATCGGGGCAGCTCCCTGAGTCAAATTGAAAACTATGAACTACTTTTTTTTTTTTTTTTTTTTTTTTTTGTCACGGTAGCACGTAGAACAATCGTTTGAAATAGTTGTTCCACTGAAATAAATGGATGTGTGATACCAGCCTTAGTCACGTATTTCGTTCCTTCCAGGAAGTTGTGCAGATTTTTGTGTGGCAAGCATCGGTGTATGTAAGTGTTTAACCGAAACTGTAGAAGCGTCTGAGTGTCTGAGAGAGCAGGCGAGCGAACAAGAAACAGTGGGCCAAGCTTGGAGAAAATTAGCTGTTGCCGAACGTCTGATGGGACTGGCGGGAACGAGTCCATCAAAATACCTGTTCAAATATTAAGCTGCAATTGAAAATTTTAAAAGCGGTGCTAACCCTAGACTGTGGTTCCCCGTTCATTAAATTTTTTAGTGAACTCCTCAAAATTCAAATTTTGTTCTGCACCTAATGTCTAGTCAAGTAGGCTGTTATCTGCAATACATTTTTATGTTAAAATCTCAAGTAGAGTCTTGTTACATCCACTCTGAATTTTGTTCGGTTATTATGCCCTTCACTCCATTCTCGAAAATTCGCGGTACAAGATTTATTGGTACCTAGTTAAACGTACATAAAGCTGTAAGGATAAGTTCGTTACACTCATGGCTCTTCAAATCTAATCCTCAGGTTTCATGAACACATTTACCTTGTATCTTAATCCCCAGAGATGAAGGTTAACAAGGCGGCATCTTGTTATAAAAGGTAGGCACCATTAAATGCAGTAATAATCACTAAGTCCAAATCTATGCTTAAATGTTTAACTTTTTTCCCTTCTTTTTATACTAAACGTGTAGAGGCATAAAAAAAGAGATATTGAAAAATATGTAACACCTTAGCCGGA